CCTGAGCGGCAACGTGCACACGGGGCTCAGTGGTCCATGAAAAAGCCGGTGGCTCCAAGAATCCTCCCATCGCCTGGGCAGAGGCTGGCCTTCGCCGGCCCACCAGGTGGGACTCAGCCATCACAGCTGCCTGGGCAGGAAAGCCTCAGAAGGCGTGCAAAAGTGAAGAAGGGGCTGCTACCTCTGACCCCTGGCCAGAGCCCCCTTTCCTTGCTCCCACGGGGGGGGGAGGAGGAAACCAGGCGCCCTCAGGTTGTCCCGCGGAGCAGAGTCCTGCCCTCTTTCACCCCCTTCGGGCAGCAGATGCACCCCGAAAGGGTTCTGTGTGTTTGGGCTTGGTAGAGCCTGCACCGGGACGCCCCTGGCTAAACCCTCGGAGGCGGGGGAGCGAGGAGTTCCTCTCTTCGGGACCTGCTGGGCCAGCCGGCGCGTCGGCACCCGGGCAGAGGCAGGTTGTCCCGCGGAGCAGAGTCCTGCCCTCTTTCACCCCCTTCGGGCAGCAGATGCACCCCGAAAGGGTTCTGTGTGTTTGGGCTTGGTAGAGCCTGCACCGGGACGCCCCTGGCTAAACCCTCGGAGGCGGGGGAGCGAGGAGTTCCTCTCTTCGGGACCTGCTGGGCCAGCCGGCGCGTCGGCACCCGGGCAGAGGCGAGGCGGAGGGGGCTGCTCTCCCGCGGGCCAAGCGGGGCAGACCTTCTCCTCCCCGCTGTCCCCGCCGGGACTCCCTCTGCTGCCCCGGCTGTGTTGCGCTCCGCCAGGGTTGTCACAGGCCCGGGCGAGGCCGGGACGTCATCTGACGTTCAGCTGGCGGGGGCAGCCCCCACCTCGGCCTCCGCCTGAGGTCCCGGCGGCGGCGGCGGCCGCTCTGAGTCACCTCCTTTCCCTCCCGGCCCTTCACCTGAATGAGCCGCCCGGAGGGAGGAAGCCGCCGGCAGTCCCTCCGCTGCTCTGGCGCTTAGAAAGGGACGGGTCAGAGACCCTTCTTCTCCCCCCCCTCCGCCCTCCGCCCGACAAATCGCAGGGGAAACCAGGTGCCTGGGTCCGAACTGGTCCAGAGGGGAACTTCATGCAAAGGCAGGGTGGCCTTGCCAGCCCCCCCCCCCGTGACGGCCTGGCCCAGTCCAGCGGGAGTGCTCTTTGGAAAGGCTTCGGTTGGCGGAGAGAGAAAAGGCTCTTTGAGGGGCAGTGTCTGGGGCACGGGCAGCTCTTGGACTGGGATGGAGGGGGGGCACCACAGCCCAAAACTGGGTGTGGGTGTGTGCCTCAGAGCCAATGCAACTTTTTGTCTTGGTGGACATATGTGATCCCCCTGGAAAGCCACCTAAATGGCAGCCTCCCTAGCATCTTGTAGCAATGAGTTCCACGACTCAAGGATGAGCGGCGTGAAATTGCCTTCTCCTTCCCCTCAGACAAGCCTCCCTCACTGAGAGGCACACAAGAGTTTGTGGGGCCTGTTGTCCAAAAGCTGACTCGTAGGGTTTTGCAACTTAGGGTGCCCACAATAAGGCAGGGCTGGACGCCCTAAACTCAGCGGCCTCTTCAGGGCTCAGGGCGACCTCGCCAGCCTCTCTTAAATGAGAAGGGCCCGGAAGTGAGACTCTTGACGGCTCCTGGAAGGGTTGTTAGTGGAAGGGCTGCTTCGCATGTCCAGTTCTTCAGGCCTACTTGCACGGTCACGGCGCCTTTTGTGGGGAGAGAGAAGGGCCCAGTGAAGCAGGGAGAGACGTCTGAGGGAGAGCAAACCAAGAAGTTGGGGGTCACAGCCGCGTCAGGCCCTGGGGGCCCTGGGTCATCCCACTGCTGGACCCAGAGGATGGGGCTACAGCCTTCCCCCAGCACGGCCTCCTTTTACCTGCAGCCACTGGCTTGGGCTGCTCAGCTGCTCACGTCCTCCTCCTTGGGTGGTCCTCAGCAAGTGTCAGGTTCCCCGGAATCTTTATCACAACAGAGAGAAAGCCTTTCTTCTTCTTCTTCTTCTTCTTCTTCTTCTTCTTCTTCTTCTTCTTCTTCTTCTTCTTCTTCTTCTTCTTCTTCTTCTTCCCAGAAAAAGGGCAGGAGCACATACCTCAGCCTGACTCAGACTCTTGAGGTGAGAGAAGGTTATGGTTTCCCCGGCGGGATTTCTCCCCTGACCGCTCTCCTTCCCTCTCGGCAGGCACCCCGCGCTCAGCGATGCTTCCTCCTCTGTCCGG